GCTCTTGGTGACGGCGTTGGACCTCATCCAACCCACGGGCATTGGCGTCCGAGATGTTGTTGAGCTCCGTCTCCACCCGGTTGATTCTTGTCTTGATCTTGTTGACCTTGCTGACCAGGTTGGACTTCTCCAGGCCCGTGTTCTTGACCTCCTTCTCCAGCTTGGACTTGAACTCCTCGTACTCTTTCTTGGCAACGTCGTACATGGATTTTTCGCCACTATATTGGCGATCAAGCTTCTTCCGACGATCGGATAGTTCGGGGGCGGTGTCAAAATTCTTCAGCTGTTCCGCGACTGCCTCGGTATCTCTCTCTGCCTGCGATTTCTGGGTCTCTTGTTGGCGAACCTTCTGTCGAAATTTCTCATCGCTGTTACCAGCTGTTGCAAGCTGGTGATCAGTCAATTCGATCTCCTTCTTCAAAGCATTGGTTCGGCTCTTCCATTCCTTGCGGGATGCCTTGAGGCGATTTCTCTCGTCGGAGAGTCTAGATTCAGCAGCTTGAATGGAGGTTTTCAGAGTTGTAGCAGGTGAATCAGGGCGAAGAGAGGGCTGTCCATTGGCTGCGCTGGGTGCTCCACTATCTGTCTCTTTTTGCGGCTCGTGAACGGTACGAATGGTGGTCTTGAAAAGAACCTCATCGGTACGACGATCGACAAATTCACAGACATACTTGGAGGCAGGCCGGAGACCATAAATGTCACCAGTCCATTGGGTGCCCACCTGGTCGTCGGATTGCTTCTCGAGTGGGAACATGCGGGTCGGCTGCCAGTAAGCGTTATTGACACGGACATACAGAGGTCTCGGCGGGTGTTTGGCCTGGCTCGAGATATACTCTCCGTTCTCTCCTTGGCAGCTCTTCTGCTCGTCGTCCTCGTCGTCATCCTCAAAGTGGCTAGTATTAAAGCAAACCTCGTCGCTGCCAACATATGAAATCCAAATGTGGCATGGCTCCTTCTCGAACGGTGCGTTTCCGAGGTTGTGAACATCGGTCGCGTTCGAGCCAGCCTGCTCGCTAGTTGCATGCGACAATTCGTACTCCTTCATTACCACGATCTTGGTGCTCGCTAGAGCGGCCCAGAGCGGTTGTTGTAGGCGTATTTGTGTACTTTGTTTTCTTCTCTTTTTGCTCATGGTGGTGGGTGGTGGTGGGGGAGCATGCTGAATACCTGCTTCAGCATCGGTTGTCGAGAATCCAGCGTCGTTCGACAGATCGTTCGAGCCGCCGGCGGATTTTCCGGCTTCTGGATCGCTCATATTGGCTTGCGCTCCCACCTTCTCACGCCTGAGATACCACTCTTTGACATATCGTACAATCCCTTGGGTTAATATATGCACAGCTAAAACACTTTTCACCCATCCAACGCCCGATCTCATATCATAACTCTCGGTGGGAAAATTGAAAGTGTCCTGCAAAGTGGACGGAATAGGCCAGTTCTCGGGTATGTGGCGCACAAACCGTGTCCAATGCAGGCGTGTGCCTCGAAGCACATGGTGGAACACGACCCAGATGAAGCAAGTAGTGAGACCTCTAGAAGAGCCATCCCTTACTCCACTACCACCGCCAAGCGTGATGGCGATGATCGGCTTGGCAAAGTCGAGAAGGATGTCCTGCAAGGGTTGCCAAAGAAAGAGCCAGAAGAGAAGAAAGAATAAATCCATGCACATGACAGTGACAGGCGAAGGAGTGGTCGAGTTGCCGTCGAAGATCTCGGCAAAGTTGATATTCATTCCAGAGCTGGTGGTGACGGGGGGAACAAAGGTAAGGAAGGTGAATATTGCGTAGATGAACGTCAGGGACACGGAGGGGACGTGCATGAGGATAATGAGAATGGCTAGGGTGTCGTGAATTGGCAATGTCTTCAAGACGGTAGTGACAAGCTCAAGAGGGCCGGAGTCACGATGGACGTCGACATTCTTGGTGGCATTAACATCAATCTGACGATGAAGGCCATCCATGGCACCACCGCTGTGGTTGCCCATGTTGGAGCCACCAGACTCAGATGATGTCTCGTCCGAACTGGTGCCAAGCGAGGTGCGCCTGGTGCTCAATTGATTGCCCATGGAGTTAGCGTCGCCATTGGCATTGCCATTCCTCGAACCCTTGGTGTTGCCATTCCCATTTAATTGGTGCTGGTAAGCGGAGCCGTTGTTCTGGGCATTGGGTGAGGGCAGACCTGCTTGGCCCGGGACATTCTCAGCCCCAGACCTCGCGGCGCCCTCATACTGCCCGGAGTTCTTGTTTCCGACGGCTCGCTTCGCAGTTGCTGGACCGACAAGCCCATTCTCATGCCTGGTGTCGCGCTGACCGGCCCCTGACGTTCGCTTACTGGAGCCTACTCCGCGAGGCATATGCCCTGGATTGCTGCTGCCCACTGCTTGGTAGCCCCCGAAGCCACGACCGGACCAGGGCTAGCAGCGAGACAACGGTTGCCCCGTGGGAGAGGAGCGAGGGGCGTACGACCGCACCGAGGGCTCGCGCGATTCGACAATTCGGAAGTCGTGGACGGTGGGAGAATCGTGTGCGGGGAGTTGGCCGGACCTGGAACACATGCGGCGACGGTGGAGCGACAACAAAAAAGAAGCCTGCCGACGAGTGTGGAAACCGTCAGGTGCAGGCCTCGCAATTGAAGTAGCCTTTGATGGTCGTTGAGGCGGGTTGGGGGTGCTGCGGCGGCTGGAGGTTGTAAAGGTAAGAAAAGGGCTTTCAGGATTTCTGCGGAGGATGCCACGGCTTAGTCGATGTGCGTGACACGGGCACGGTGCAGGCAGGCCAGACTGGGTGTGGGAATTTTGGGAGGAGCGGGAGAGTGCAGTAGAAGTACATGGCATCAGGAACAACCGGAACGGGAATAAAGGCGGCGGGGATGCGCTGGGATTGGACAAGCAGCCGACGACGCCCCCAATCGATTGGCTGTCGCCAGTGCTGCAGGCTCAACTGTAGGGCGAAGCAGCAGGTCCAGGCGGAGAGCCAGCACGTTTCAGTGGACCGCAAGGGAAAATTTCCACGTACAGGCCAGGGCTAGACAGGCACTTGGCCCCCAGGGGAGCCCCATCAGCACGAGTTTGATCTGCCCCCCCGGAATGGCGCACTAACAGCGCCAGCGGCCAGTGTTTCCTCGTCGGCTGACAAGGCAATCGCTGCACTATTCTATGATGCGTTATGCGCATCGCCGGGGTCGGTCCACTGGAATAAACACCAGCAGCACCCCCACCCCGCGTTGACTCGCTGTGCCCTGCCCTGGCCGCCGCTTACTACGTGTTTTCCCTGCAGATGCGCCTTCAGAGTGCAGTATGTGCGCGCGTGCTTGGCCGAGGACGTGCAGCGGGTGGATGCCCGTGTGTTGTATCAGCTCGCATCCCGACCGAGCATGATGCGAGCGAGACGACATCATACCCAGGCAGGCAGATACATCTGCCCCCCCATCTGCACTCCAACACAAGCATCAATCAGACGACGATGGCTGCCGCCGTGTCCGGCACTTGAACAATGAGGGTGTGGAGCAGATTTGTGCTTCTAGGGCCGTCCTAATAAGACAGGTACATCGCGGCGTACCCGTACCTGCTGCCTGTCTGCCGGCCTGTCTTGCCCTTCGCTGCCTGTCGATGTACTGGCAGGCAGCACCATACTCGCCAAGTACTAGCCGTCTCCATCTCTATGATCACATTCAGCTGTGATGGATGCCGCTAAAGTGACTGCAACAGCCCATGGAGCAGAGTGCCGAAGCCCGCTAACTCGTCTGGGCAACGTTGAAATCTCTGGCCAGCCAGAGTTGGCAGGAAATTCGCGCGACGATTTTCTGATCTGCACATCATAGAGCGCCTACGAATGTCACCTTGGGGCAGTCTAATCAAAGAAGACGGTTCCTTTGCATTCTGATGACCGAAGAACCCACCTTCGTCTGAAGCGCGGGTGTGATACGTGGACCTGTAAGCTGCGAGATGGACTGTCGCAGCGCAGCAGCAGCGTCAGTACGTGGATGGATTTGCCGCGCTGTGGGTTTGCTCGGCCAGGGCAATGATATGAATGATGCAGATTGCAACAGAGGGGTAGATCACGAGTGCATCAAAGGACTCGAGCAATGCGAGTGAGGTGGAGTCGGAGATCCCAGCAAGCCCAGCGCAGTAGTCTTGGTGTTGCCTTGGAGAGAGACTTGACCCATTGATCAGCGAGCATTATCAGTCTTGATATAGCTGCTAATGACAGAGACCTGACTCAAGCCCGAGTCGCCATGTAACCTGACAGTGAGCAAAGGGCTGAGATGAGAGATGCAACACAACACCCAGAATGGCAAGGTAAAAAAGTCGGTCAGGAAAGGCAGTTCTCGACGAGAAACTCGTACCAGCTGCGCAGCTGCGATCGACATAATAAAAGATTGATGCTGACTGGCTGATTCGCGGGTCCACTCTCTTTTGGGGGTGCAGGAGAATAGTCGCATTAGGATTAGCGTATGCACTGGTGGTGGGCACTTTTTGTGCTCGCTGTTTGAGGGGCTGCAGGAGGAGTCGGTTGGATTATTTTTATACCTTTGTCCCTTGAAGGATTCCGAGTACCAGTACTTGTCAGTGTAAGCTGCAGCATCAGGTGGTATCCACGAAATGAGATAACATTCGAGGCCCGGCAGCGACGGGCGACGATGACAAACAGCCTCTTGCTGGACCCTTCGGTATGGACTACGTAAAAGGCTTTATTCCCTTTACCTGTTTGGTTCAAGGCTTTAGGTTTCAAGGTTCGTCACTGAGGGAAATGAGTCACTAGTACCTGTACCGAGCTAGCGCAGTGCACTCCAGGCTTTTCCCTGTTTTTTTAATGCTTAGTCATGCCCATCGGAGTAACTCCCGAGGCTGTAAATTGTGGATCAGGAGCAGCCTCACAGCTGCAACATCGTGACCAAAAAGCTTAGTTGAACAGAGAGACACTATCATAAGTAGGTAGTTTATGGAAGGACTCGACAACTCAATAAATTGTGCAAAACTATGAGATACATGACAAATACTCTGCTCAACTACTAACCTAGAATTGAAACAAACTGCTCTGAATGTCATTCTCGGCCTAGTCATAGGCAGTGCTAGAACCTCCTACATTTTGGTAGGCAGTGGAGGGTCCCTCATTGAAACTTCCTTCCTTGCCAGTCCTGGTACCAGCATTCTTCTTGATGGTTATCTTTTTCTTTGATTTCTTCGCCTTCTTTGAGCTGTTTGCCTTCTTTGAATTGGTTGTTTTCTTTGGCTTCTTTATTGCCTTTTTCATCTTCTCCAATTTCTCTTTGTCCATGATACCAATCTTGAGAGGCATTGGTTGACGGGCCTCAAGCTCGATCGACCTACGGTTGTAGGCAGTGCTGGGGATCCCGTCGCCGTTTCCATAGGCAGTACTCGTGCCATCTCCACCTCCTTTACCAGTCTTGAGACCAGCAGGTTTCTTGAATTTGATCTTCTTTGCATTCTTCTTTGGCTTCTTGGACTTGGATTTGGACTTCTTAGGCTTATTCGTCTTCTTCTTCGCAGACTCTCTCAGCTTCTCCAATTTCTTTGAAGCCAGGATGCCAATTTTCAGGCGCGCTGGTTGGCGGGTCTCAAGCCTATCTAAGTTGCGCTGGTAGGCAACCCGTAGTTGATGCTCGTCGCGGGTTTCAAGATCTCCGTATCTAGAGGGGTAGAAGGCAGAGCTGGAGCCTGCCAGGCCAAGAGTGGCGATCGCGAGAATTTCTGTGAAACGCATTATGAATGACAAATCTCGGGGGACAATATGTATTCGCTTGGATTTCGTTTGGTTTTCGTTAACAAATGGTATAGAGAGGAGAATGGGTAGTAGCTGAAAGGTTATTAGCTATGAGTTGAAGTAATGAGTTGATACAAGAACCGACTCATATTCTGAAAGCAATAAGTCAGTATTTATAATTCTTCTCTCCGTCGAGACACACTAGAAGCCCTCCATATCAAGTTCCAAGTCTATTTTTACTTGAGAAAGCACGAAATTCAAGCGAATGCGAGCTAACCTGGTTGCCACGCAAGATGCAAATCATTATTAACTGAACTGCAGTCTAGAACAAGATAGAACAACCATAAAATTAGCGTTAAGTTTCACTCACTACCGCAAAGCTCTATTTCGGGCCCAACTGATCCTTCGATAACATCCCCATCCCAATTTAAGGCAGGAGGTTGTCTCTGCAAGACCCTTTATTTACGGTATTTATGGTCGCTTGCAGATGAGCATCGCGGATGGCGCCTCTTTAGGAAGCGCCCGAGGCAACCAACACAGCCTAATTGATACAACTACTTCTATAATTGCCCGGTCACTTTTTCGACACAGAGATCGATGGTGCATTTGACAAAACAGAAGTCGTAATGGCTGCCCGTGAGAATCCGGATCAGGAGGCCTCTTGCAGAAATTCGTTGGTCCGGTTTCACTGTTCCGCTACACTGCTGCATGGATGAGTCTCGCTTGTAGGAAGCTAACATGAATTGAATTGGTTTGGGCAGCATCGTGTGGACGGACTTGCATAATATTAGTCCATAGCGGTTAGATCACGACAAGAGGTTGTCTCTTTGGTGAGAGTATAGCACGGAGGGCAGCCAAGGTAGGTTAATGGGTGCCGGAGAACCTTCATCCATAAATAGGAATTTCCATGGCTTTAGCTGAATCAAGCATTTATTGTTCAAGTTATTATCTGATTTGTAGTTTGATTAGTTTAGTTATGTTTACTATGAATCCTAAATAATATCTACATCACTTATGGATAATATACTAATTCTCTCTGCCTTAGCTTCAATAATGACCGTCATTGTTGGTTTACTGTGTTTGAATACTCGGTACTGCTTCTAGAAGGTAAAGACTTAGGAATATTAATAGAATAATCATTTTCGATTCCTATTCTAGAGGCCGCTGCAAGAAGGCTTGATACTACATATTTGAGTTCTGGTCCTTCGAGCGAGCTGCAATCAGTGACGCCCAGGTCCCTACTCCACCAGCGCAGCATCGAGAACATTTCTTAGGTCTGATCCATTAGCCAAAGAAGATGCGTTATCAGTGATTTTGAATATAATCTCATCTCTATCTTCGGATTCTGACGAAAATTTGTTGTTCTAGCGAGCCTTCCTGACAATATCACTTATGTAGAGGTGCAGTCGTAAAAGTTATCACCGGCACTGCAAATCTCCTTTTTCCTATATCCAATTTGTATTCTCCTTTTAGAGATAGGCTTAAGAATCCCTGGATCCATTCCATGACTCTTATTCGAAAATTAGTCTTTATAGCACTATCACGAGAGGTAACGTATATACAAATCTAGGGCGCTTAAATTGAGGGCAATACCCAAAACGTGGGGCCAAGAAAAGCACCTGCTCGTCACCAAAAAGCCAATTGCCCGTACAGGAAGTATAGCTCCGTCTTTCGCTAGTAGCCTCAATGTTTAAGCAATTCGTGATGAAATATCTCCACTGGATTGGAAATAATAAGCTGTATGGCATAACTCTATCGAGGTTGGAGGTGATTTTCCTTGGCATGAAGGGAAAGACGGGTAATGCTTGTTCCCGTGCCCTCTTGGCGCATAAAATATATGAATTATGTCTATGCACCCGGCATTTCATTTCAATGTTTCATCAGAAACGTAGCCCTAATGATGTACCTTAGGGACTTTACGACGCGATATCAACACCAAAATCTATAGGCCGAGAATACAAAACAAAATTCCGGTAAGAAATATTAAGTAACAAATGTAATAAAAATAAATCACATGTTTTTCTCATTGATTAACGGGCATTGAAAGCAATCTTAGTAAATGGCGTCATATTATCTAGGGTAGCCAGAATCGCAACCCACAAGCCCCATGTGGCTTTCCCTCCAGCAAACGCCACGGCTCCCCTGACAGCATAATGCCAAGGATGCTTGGGAAGTCGCAAGTCAAGTCAGACATCAAGCTCCCTCCAACCGAAGCACGTATCGTGTGCGCCATGCGAACGTGTCATCTGGCGCCAGGCCAGCGTACTCCCTCATGATCATCTCCGTGCTGAGATGAAAATAGAGCCATCATGGACTTTGTGAGCAAGCAGATTCCGAGCAGAAGACAGGCTCTTGGTTAACACGGGTACAGTGGTCCCGCCTACTGAGCCCCCTCTCCAAGGAGAGCACCCGCCAGGACCAGGCGAAAGATCCAGCGAAGCGGCTGCATCGGTTCGAGAAGCAATACGGAAAACTGTTGGTGAGCTGCTAGAGAGCAACTGGGGCCGGTAGTACATGCAGACGGGCAGCTGACTTTGTGACCAAACAGGCGACATGGCGCACTTCGAACATCTCCCGCGACAGCGATGCAGCCGAGACCGTCGAGATTGGACTCCAGGAGCTCACGAATATCATTAGCGACGAAAGTCGTCGTCCTCTGCCGCATCCCTGCATTCAGTTTGCATCGTTACGGGAAATCTACGTCCACATCGGCAAGATCGCGATCATTTCATATAATGAGTGGATTATAAAGGAGGCGGTCCTCTTTTTCGCGACACTGATCGAGAGCGAGGAGGAAGCTTTCGTAGAGAAACACACGTTCTCAACCAGCCTGACGAATCTCCTTGTCCGAATTACGGGCGCCAATAGTGTTCCCCTCGGGCTCGACACGGAGTCTCGGGTCGTGGAGCTGGCGTTCAATATCACCACGAAGATACGGCAGGATCCCGCGATATTGCCGGCATGGTTCAACACTCACGAAGACGACCCCAAATATTCCGAAGGCGACCGCGATTATCGTGATAAATTTGCTGGCCGGACCCAAAGGGCAGACTTCCCTCTTTTCTATATTTTGATGGACTATATCCACCACGAGGGCAAGGTTGGTGACTTCGCTCGCACCGGTTTGCTCTACATTATCGAGTCGGCCTCCCGTTCGGTATTGCTGGAGCAATGGATTGTTGAGAGCGACCTGTCAACCCTGATGGCTACGGGTCTAGGTGCCCTGTACAGTCAGTTGAGCCGGAAACTCGTTATTGATTATCCAACCCAGAATCTACCTCCGATTCTCGCCTTTTCCGATTACCAACACCCTACATCCAATTTTGAGGTTATCAGCTCCTGCTCCCCGGAGTTCCAATCACATCTAGAGACATTCCTGTCCCACCTTTTGTTTTGGCAGGATGTTTTGAACCATTGCAAGTCGGTCGAAGTCAAATCGACACTGTTGGAACATTTCCAAGTCATCTTCCTCCAGCAATTACTGTAAGCTTCGACCTGTAGTATACCTCGCAGACACTCTGACTGACTGTGATAGCTATCCTTCCTTACTCGAATCCTCAGACATTGATGGTGGATCCTCGGTGGCTGTCTTGACATATTTACGACGTATTCTTGAGGCTCTGGATCACCCGGACATGATTCACCTCATCCTCCACTACCTTCTTGCTCTGCCAGATGCAGAACCCACCCAAGACTTGTCCAGTTCAACAACATCAATAAGCAATGCCCGCAAGCGAAAGTCAATGGATCTTGCAACTATGATGGCTTCAAAATCAGACACCACTGTCACCCCCCTCCTCTTTAACCTGGTCGATCTGATCTTGGCTTGTTTGAGGTCAAGGAACCAACAAACAATACACGTCACGCTACAGCTAGTGTCGGCGATTCTTAAGAGACATCATCGATACGCTATTATTACGTTACTACGAACGGAGATCCTGCCAGGGCACACTCTTCAGCGGACGATAGGGGCCCATGATCAGGAAGTGGAGTACCTTGTGAACCTTGCTGGTGCTATCGGGGGTTTCGACAATTTCAATGATCTCTACGACGACTTGCTGAAGGATACCAAGTCGAGACTCGAAAGCCACTCATGCTCTATCCCGCTCATGGCGCCCCCAGTAGGGAAAATCAAAGGCAAGGAGGCAACCGTCCGGACCGAGCACCCAGGTTCTCCAAGAGAAGTCCGTGAACATACGTTGAGAGTTGATGATCCTCTGCTCAATGCAATGCTCGACCTCCTGGAGTCTTTCTTTTTGAACCCCGTCGAAACCAACCTTTCCGTGACGGAGAGTCTTGTGGATTTGGGGATATGCGGCTACATGAGCGTTGAAGGATGGCTAACCCGCAATCCGGAAAACTATATCTACGATGAGGAAGAGGATGACCAGGACGAAGAGGACGTGGAAGTAGATGTCAGAATCCCGGAGGTTGGGGCGAGCCCGGACAAGCAAGAAGAGCCGACAGAAGTAGAAGAGGAGCAGAAAGAGAAGGAAGTGGAAGACGGACAGAAAGAGGAGCCAGAGGGAGAAGCACAGAAAGAGGAGCTCGAACAAGAAGGACAAAAAGAAGAGCACACAGAGACGGAGACCGTCGCGGCGCACCCTGAGAAAGAAGGCAACGACAGCACCGAGAAGAGCGCCGCAGAGCCGAGGCTTGATAGCAGGCCCAAGGTTGTAACATCTCAAAAGGCGACAGAGTCGCGGGACCCAAGAAAACTCCACGAGGCGCAGCAGGAAAAGGAGATGCGCAAGTGCAGGCGTCGCCCAACATGGGAGCCGTCTTCTGTGCCAAGATTTTTGGCAGTCATCAAGCGCTTGTGCGAGCAGGTTGATGGTTACAAAGAGATGATCCCAAGGTTTGAAGAGCTGTTGCAACAACGACGGGAGGCATTCTATACGGCCGATAGGGTTCTCAGCACCCCCGTTCCTTCGAGAAAGGAGACGCCGAAGTTGGTGCAAGCTGATTGGATGGAGGAGACCCCGCGAAGTAGCTCGCCGCTGCGTCCATCTGGGTTCGAAGGCTTTGCGCAGCGAATCTTCTCAGAGCTGGGGACCCCCAGCCGCTCCGGTAGTCCCAAAGGACGAAAGGAGAAGGGCATGGGGACGAGGAGCGGAGCCGCTACGCCATCGCATAGAATCGACAACTACGGATTGGCGAGTCCAAAAGCGATCCCTATTCCAGCCCCGAAAGACCTCACTCTTGGACAGAATGAGCCAGTCAAAGGGGCTCTGCCAAGGACATTGTCCCCATCCCTGATGGGAGACGATGGTATGGATGATGATATCGAGGGTGATGAGGGCGTTCATGCTAGTCGCATGGCCGACTTCGCAGCTGTGGACCAGACGATTCTAGCCCGCCGTGTCGGTCTCCCTCATATCGAGATTGAACCAATCCCGTTGCGATACAACAAACAGGCTCTGCCCGAACCTGATGACACGATTGAGGTAGACGACGAGGAGAACATGCATATAGGGCCGGGTGCCGAAGAGCTCGATGGTATCGGGGATGAATACGGAAGCGGCGATGATGAGAATGAGGATCTTGGGCGGGAGAGCGTGGTCATCAACGACGGGACCGTTTCCGTATCGCACGTCGTCACCAACGTCCTCATCTTGCAATCATTTGTTTTCGAGGTGGCAAGCCTGATGCAGATGAGAGCAAGCTTGTTCAACGAGGTTCGTTTTGTGTGATGGGCAATTCCTTCTTCTATTGCATTGCGAGGCGTCAGGGCATAACTCTTGGGAGGAGCGGATTGGCGGATGGATGGATGGGTAGAATGACGATGCTGGGTTCACAGCTAGCAAGCAGCTTAACGCATATATTTACCTTGAATTATGATGTACAATTATTCTACTCATTTCAATTGCGTGTGATTTGGGAACTTCTGCACGTTTAGATACATCGAGTTGTGAGAAGCATCACTAGATATAATTCTGCGGACAATTTTGCCAGCGAGAGCATTGCAGAGCACAATGTTTGGGTACACTTGGGGCAACTAGTTGAAACTCTATAAAATAATCCATTGTTGACCACCTTTCTATTTTACTGCATTGTACTAAACAAACTACGATGATCCTCAACGGCTGGGTGGGCTGGCTTACAAGGGCAGGAATACAATGGGAGGACACACGCCAAAACGACGTTGCCATGTTTCAAAAGTGGTCTGAAAAAGATTAGCTCATTTTAAGGTTGGACCACGGCCAACCTGGGTGCACACATCATCTGCGCAGTAAAGCTTTTCGCATGGGAGCAGGGTGGAAAATGAGGTGGAAAATACTTGTGGCGGTGGTGGTGGTCGTGGCCAATGAAGCCGGATGACGTATCGCGGGAGACAGGACTGGGGGTGGGCCGTGTCTGACCACGGGATGGGAAAAGGAAAAAAAAAAGAGGGAAAAATTCATCCAAAATTTTAATTACCTGTTGGAGCCCCCCGCATTTGTTACTTGGGACGTGGTTGTGAGTACAGGGGGAGCAGTGGTGTGAGGTAGGCCCAGGCAGGAGGTGCGTGCTGCGCCGGGTTCGGGATAAGAACCGCACGATGGATGGAGTTTATAATCAAAGCAACGGCTATGATCGGGTGCTGGGGGGCATGGATGGGTTGAGGGGGCATGAACTGGGCAATGAGCAAGGGAAAGTAGGTAGCATCCATGCAACTCTGGGCGCATGTAACGTGGTTGAGGTCGAGGGGGCGGAGAGGAGAGGAGAGGAGATGAGACAGGATGAGAATGGTTTGCGTTGCCTCGTGGGATTGTTCTCCCTCTCCGCGGCATGCCCAAATAAGGCCGAATTGCTGGTCTGGGGATGGTTTGCTGGATGGTTATTTCTTTCATCCATTCATTACGTGATGGTGGATGTTTGCACCAGCATGTGATTCATTTGTGTATTTAGTTGTCGATCTCGATCCCTCTCTCCGAGGCGGGAGGAATGGCTGAAACCGGAACACAGGCCTGTCAGTGTCAGTGTCAGTGTCAGCCCCAGCTCTCTGTAGTCCCAGACGCGGTCCCCTGGCTCTGGCTAGGTTACGCAGCAGAATTATGTAGGGTTTGCCTCGTGGTGATGCTCGCTGCTGCTGACCCGAGAGAGCATCATGCCACCGCCCAAGGCTGCACCGAGATCACCTCGAATCGAATTGAGGTCCGGAAATAAGCTTCGAAAAAGACCGACATCCACCTGATCTCTTACGTTGCACTGGTTGACACCCCTTGGCTCGCGGATCGAGAAGGGGAAGCAGCCGGTGTCTCATCGGACCTACTGTGGAGGAAAAGTGCTGGACGGTGATGCTGATGCTGATGCCTCCTGACCATCACCCATCGTCCGTCGCCGTTGCCCAGTACAGCCCGGCGGCCGCTGTCTGGGAATGACTAAAGACAATCCGATTGAAGGCAGTCACATCACCAGACGTCTAAACAGCCCTGTCCTGGCGGGGATTTTGCAGCATGGGTGCGCCATGTCGGCAGATGTGAGTGGGCGTTGGATGACATGACATGACAGGCAGCTCTGCTCTGCTCGATGCTGCCCCCAATCAGAGCTATAGCTGGCCCACCGTCCTCTGGGATCGAGTAGCATCCCAACGCGTACAGTGAAATGGGAGAGCTTCATGCGTGGTTGGCTAAATCCACAGTCCGCCTTTGCTACATGTACTCTGCCACGCTATTCTTTCATGCTTGTTGATGCATACACCACACCACACCATCTCGTTTCCTCGTGTCCAGCCCCGCCCCCATGTTTGGATGGAATTCACCGAAAGCTTCTAGCTGTTGGAAATATCTGACAGGTATCCGGGTAGCTACCTGAGAGTAGAAGGTCCATGCCCCCGGACGGGGATAGACGTCATTGGCTGCTGATCTGGGCCATGGTGACGGACAGGATGACTGGGGCCAGACTTGGCTGTCGTAGGCCTCGAAAGCCACCTGCAGGCTGTCAAGGCTGTGAAGCAAGACCAGATGGTGCATCGCCGTTCTACCCATGGCTAATTGATACGCGGAGAGGAGGGGAATGTGTTGTGTGGGACAGGGGGGCAAGTAGGACGTACGGCAGCGTCGGCATAGAGAAGCTCTGGCGTTGATCAGGCTCGAGCTCTTCCTGGGTGGCCGACATCCGAGTTAATTGGCTGCTCATCGCTAGAGCCCGTAATTCAACCACTGAGTTAAGTCTAACAATGCGAAGACCTGGGGACTGGGGAAGTGGATGTGCTCATCCCACCTCTAGCTGATCTACCACCCATATCCTCTCTTTCGTTCCCCAGACTGGAGTTTGGCTAGGCAAAGGAGGTGTGGTATAATTCCTTCTACAGTCGTTCTGACTGTGGATTTGTATGTCATTGCGATGGTAATAGCAACGCTGGATCTATTGATCACAGATCTGCATGCAGTCGTTTGCTTCATCGAGAGATGAGACATTGAAAATCGATATCCTCCTTCCAGCCTGCGAATTCCGCCCACAAGAGTCGACTGGAATGGGAGCTGTAGCTTCCCCCGGCTTGCTTGAAACGGAACCGCCATCGTCATCGGGCATGAAGAGCGTCCCGCGAGCCAGACGGCCAAATACTCGGCCTTGAACACAGTCCTTGCTGCAAGCTGTATGTACATAGCAACCTGTCCGACGATCATCCCCGGTCCCACAAAGCAGCGGTAAGCGAATGGTTGAGCTTGGCCAAGCAGCACACTACCCATTGGTGAACACTCCGTTGCTGGGATCTGACCATGCGCGTGGCAAGGTAGCAGGGTCGTTTCGATAATTGCTTTTTCTTCACGGCACGAGGCTCACTTTCGCATGACCGACCGAAAGAATTGAAATGTGCTACAATGTGCGGGGATGATGGTCCCTGGAGACAATCCATGCTGGCAAACGTGAGAAAGCGAGGACTCTCTCGTTGATTTCGGATAGACGCTGCTCTTGGTGTCCTTTCTTTGAAATGGGACTGGCAATACATGGCTGTGTATTGTCATACCCCATCTAACTCAATCATATCTCAACTGGGGAATCAAGCATGCAGGTTAGATTTAGCTTACGCTTGGACGGGCCAAATCGTCCGTCCGCGACGGTTGGAAAGTTCAGCTCCTCGGCAAGACTGAGACAGACGGGGCCAAGCTGAGTCTTCTGGCCCGATTGACGCACAGCAGTGCAGCAACATGGCAATTGAAACCGAGAATCCTGTCTATGCGCCACTGGAAAGGAACAATGGAGAGGGGATAGAGCTCCACTTCCCACCTTCCCCAATCCCATCGCCGGTCGGTAAAGTAAAGTGCGTATCATGATGGGGATGGTGGGATGCTTTGCTCGGGGGAACCAGGTCACGGCCAGCAAAGAGGCAGGGATCGCCATTACCACCCAGCCGGGGGACCAAGCCATCAGTTCTCATTATCCTTCCTCGTGTCATTGGAAGTGCCACCGCGGGAAAGAAGGTGAGCTAAGCTAGAGCGCTGTGCTTCGATGGAGGGCTGAGCCATGCGGTGTCTGCGTCTGTGCATATACATATAAATGGCCCCGAGCTGTCCACACACACTCTCTCTCACACCCCTCGAGATCCTGAGACACTACTCGGCTAGGGAAAGGCCTCGATAACCACCTTACATATTGCAAATACTTGTTCTACATTTCCTGCTCCCTCTTTCTTGGTAGAAAAGAGAGGAGACAGCCCACCTGAAAGAGAGAGCGCAAACCCATCCTCCTACAGCTGCCCGTCATGGCGATTGGCAACATCTATGTCATCTCGGGCGTGGCCGTCGTCGGCGGCGCCCTGTTCGGATTCGACATCTCGTCTCTGAGCGCCCAGTTGGCCATGCAGAGCTACCTGTGCTACTTCAACCAAGGCCCCAAGGGTCCGCCACCAGAGTTCGAGGCCAATGACGAGAAGAAGTGCAGTGGCCCCGAATCGCTTGTCCAGGGTGGTATCACTGCCGCCATGTCGGCTGGTTCTTGGGCCGGCGCATTGGTCTCTGGCTTCCTGTCTGACTGGCTCGGCAGAAAGTATGCCATCATGATTGGCTGTGTCATTTGGTAAGTCGCAATTTCTCTTTCTGCTTTTGCTTGAGACTACAGTCTGCGGAGAGGGCAGCCAAGCTTGGAGTCCAGATGGCGGCCGTCTGTTTCACTTCCTCGTGGACTTGCAGATTTAGCACCCGTCTGTCTCCCTTGGCAATCCAATAAGCAAACAGCGAGTCGCGGTCTGATTCAATGTTTTTAAACCATTGATGGCTAGGCCAATTGATTCAGTCCATTGACTAACAGCGCACCAGGATGATCGGTTCCGCCATCATTTGCTCGTCCCAGAACATCCCCCAGCTCGCAATCGGCCGCATGATCAATGGATTCTGTGTCGGAATCGAGTCAGCTCAGGTCCCCGTGTACATTGCAGAGATCGCAAAACCGTCCCTGAGAGGCCGTCTGATCGGATTCCAGCAATGGGCCATCACATGGGGCATCCTCATCATGTACTACATCTCCTACGGCTGCTCCTTCATTGGAGGCGGTGACTACGACACCTACAAGACAGCATCCTGGCGTGTCCCCTGGGGTCTGCAAATGCTCCCCGCCGTCTTCCTCTTCTTCATGATGATGCTCCTCCCCGAGTCTCCTCGTTGGCTGGCTCGCAAGGACCGCTGGGAGGACTGCCACAGCGTCTTGACCCTTGTCCACGGCAACGGTGACCCCAACCATCCGTTCGTCAATCAAGAGCTTCAGGAGATCAAGGAGATGTGCGAGTTTGAGCGCCAGCACTCGGATACCACGTACTTTGATCTCTTCAAGCCACGCATGATTCATCGCACACTCACTGCCCTCTTTACGCAGATCTGGTCGCAGTTGACTGGTATGAACGTCATGAGTAAGTAATTCCAACGCTGACCATGGCCTCGACATCCTTCTGACTCTCTCTAGTGTACTACATTGCAAATATCTTCACCATGGCTGGATACACGGGGAATGCTGTTCTGCTTGCTTCCAGTATCCAGTACGTCATTAACGTCTTTATGACAATCCCGGCACTGCTCTGGTAAGTTCTTATACTCTTCGGCAAATGGAATGTGGAAGGAAGGCAACGTCTAATACCTTTCTATAGGATGGATAGATGGGGCCGACGAAACACTATGCTGGTTGGTGCAACCTTCATGGGAATCTGGATGTTCGTCGGTGCTGGAATTCTCGCCAACTACGGGCGTGTGGTTCCTGGAGGCATTGACGGTGTCGCAGCACAGTCCATGGAAGTCACCGGAGCTCCTGCGAAGGCACTCATTGCCTCCGTGTACCTCTTCGTCGCCAGCTTCGCCCCCACCTGGGGTCCGGTATCATGGACATACCCTCCGGAGCTGTTCCCCCTCCATCTCCGTGGAAAGGGTGTCGCCATGTCGACCTCTGGTAACTGGGCCTTCAACACCGCCCTGGGCCTGTTCGTTCCCGAGGCCTTTGCCAACATCAAGTGGAAGACATACCTTATCTTTGGCATCTTCAACGTTTGCATGTGAGTACTATTTCCTCAATCAACCGAGACTTCATCTCTATAGAACATATAGCTGACCATACCGTAGGTGGGTCCATGTATTCTTCCTCTTCCCAGAGACCAGTGGCCACACTCTCGAGGAGGTCAGCAGCATCTTCGAGGATCCCAACGGAATCCCATACATCGGCACACCAGCTTGGAAGACCAAGGTCGCCACTGCAGCTACTAGGAGAGCTGAGGCGGGTGATTTGGAGGCCAAGTACGGCGAGAAGGAGAAGAACCTCCAGCCCGTCCAGAGCGCAGAAGCTGCCGAGGCCAGCCCCGTCGAGAGGGCCTAAGCGAGGTTGCAGACGGATTGTCGTTAGCAGGCGCGCATGAATTCGTCGGCGCCACGCGAGAAACCCAATGAGGACGATGAATATTGGTTCCTCTGAACCTTCTAATTCTAATAATGGCCATTTATGTTAGTTTAATGAAAGGAGAGCTATGAAGAGTATGAACGAGGGTGGGCAGTTGGAAGCCAAATGTTGTATTGATGATACCAGGAGCAAGGATTAGGGATACCGTGACCTCTGTTCTATTTTACTTGCTACCAATATATCTGCACATTTTTGAACGAGTCCACAAGGCTGCAGGTGCTATCTCCAGAGCAAGTGCTCGTATATGGAATGGTTTGAGATGAACGCATTTATTGTTTCATTGACCTTGGAGCTGTACAATCCTATGGTCAGAAAGCAACGTCAATTCACAGCATCCTGGTTACTGGCCCAATTCAATTCATAAAGAACATTATCATCTGGGCTAAAGATCACCAGCTATACTCTCATTTAACCTCTTTAGCTCCCTCCCTGCTCGGATCCTGAAGCCTCGCCAATTCCAGCAAAAGCCGATACACGTAAATCGTCATGTCAACTTCACGAAACGCCCTCGAATACCAATCCCGCCCCTGCTCAACAATCTTCCTTGCCTGCTCCTGCCCGGATTTAGTCGACGTCAGGTACGTGACCAGCTCCGGCAGCTCCGCCATCTCCTGGCTCACAGGGATGTAGTGCACCCACGGCACGAGCCTGTCGTCGTGCCACTCCCGCATGATGGTCTGCTTCAGCGGGACGGACCTGGACGCGAGCAGCTTGTAGAAGCGCCCGCTGATGCCGTTGCCGTCCAGGTCGAACGCGAGGCGGTACCCGAGCGCCTCATCTTTATGCGCCCACGGTCTGACGTTGAAGTGTGCGCGCTGGTCGTGGCAGGCGGACGGCTCGCACTGGAAGACGCGGGTGAAGGCGACGTTGTATAGTCGGCGGTTGAGGAACGACGAGGGGACGCGCTCGACTAGGCCGTTCTTCTGCTGCTGTAGGTACCAGTATGTCTGGTCTCGCGCCGGGTTGTGGATCATGTTTACGAATCTGTGGCGGTGGAAGTCTCTCCAGTTACTTCCGTTTGCGTACCCGCCCGACGTGGAGCCTGCCCAGTATAGCTTGTTATACTTACTGTCCCAGTCCGTGTCCTGTGCCTCGTCGTATTGGAACTCTTCCTCGAGGTAGGCGGGGCTGGGGAGGAGGATGTCGTCCATGGTGGAGAGCGAGCCCGTCGAGAGGACAGGGACGGGACCTTGGATTGGGCGAAATGTTACTGGGTTTGTGAGGAGGCCGTGCATGTGTTGGTATTCTGGGTGTTGGCAGATATCAACTTGTTGGCTGTGGGTTCGGACGAGGCCTATGTCGGGCGAAGAAGTTGACCAGTTCTCAGATTGGTCTGATTCGAGGTCTTTGAAGTTGCAGTCGTGGCTGACCATATCCCAGATTTGGCTTGAAGATCCATCGCCGTTTCTTCCCTGCCTTAAACTCCCGGCTTGATGTGACAGTTGGTTTGTAAGGGACTTGGATGTTGTCAGGACTCTTGGCTCGTCAAAATGATTTACAAGGAACCTGAGGGAGTGGACGCCGCTAGGAACATCCTTCATCAACCTGTTAAACAAGAGTGATATATGTCTGTCGAATGTGCGCCGAGGATGGCTGCAGTGTGTTTCAGACTTCTGCGAAGAATATTCACAAGACCATACTTCGCTATCTGGCCGCGAATATAACCCGCTCATGGCTTCCAGAACTTCGCGGCCACTTAGTTTCAGCAAGGGAGCGATGGTTCTTTGGATGGAGTCAAAGTCGTCGATGATCGGAGACTGATTCATTTTCGCAAACTCGTACCATTCTTTGAAGCCTGGAGGAGGTTCAAGACCATACCGGCGTTTGTATTCATCGCGCGCGGCGGTGTAGCTTTTGGACTGTCGCTGGATAAGGGAGTTGAGTTCACCTTGCGCGACATGTATCGCCTCTTCCACGGGGTGCATCTGGTGGTTGCGAAAACTAATCCTTGCCATGTGTTGACTCGACATGATGGCTTGGAGACTGAGAAGGTATGGGATTATGGGGATGAGAGATAGTACCCAGAGAGTCTTTGGATGTTTAGGGATTGTTCCAATGATCTGGGCTAGAAGCAGGATTGAGCCAACCAATATAAAGAAGGAATTGATATCCCATGATTGAGAAAATGGGTCAGTTGTTGATAAGATGCTGAAGGTTGTGATCGGTACTGCGATCCGCCATGTAGTATGATGTGCCTGTTAGCCTTTGTTAGCAGCTAGCACAATATATTGACTATCATGGGGCAAAGAGACGTACAGTTTGAATTAAGAAGAACCAAGTGAAAGCCTTGAAGATGCCCAGCGTGATTGTGGGAAGCACTTGAGGGACCGCGCACCCAAATGTGATGGTCTTTAAGCTCAAAACGATGACAAGAGTTGAAGTCACCCGAAAAGAAAGCGGGTTTATATCCTCTCGAATACATATGTGAGGGATATGTCGAGAAAGGTTGGATCCTTTGTTTAGCAGTGTTAGGTACATTGTGAAGGAAGCTACCGCCGATGTTATCGACAACGCAACGCGAATCAAATTGAAATCAATGAGGGTGGAAATCCCAAAGAGAGCTATCGAGGTTGTGCCCAACAGCGTATTTGAAATCATGAAAATCAAACCGGGATAAACAGAGGCCGGCCATGATAGGCCTTGCCCGAGATACTGCTCGATAACCAAGAGGAGAGGCATCAACAACGGCTATGAAAGGTTAGCCATGAAGACTGAGAGTCTAGATCTACTCGGTTACACGTACAAGAAGCCAGTTACTCCCCTGCTCTCCTTCGCACACTGCTCGAGTTGCTATGCATATTGCAAATAACCACAGCCACGGGCCGGGTGATCTCTGCAACTCGTTTACCTTTTCTGTATCAAATCGATTGATAGGCAAAGTGATAGCCTTGCAAAATATCGGCAGCAAGATCCAGCAGATCAACTCGGCCCAGGGTTCATCTCTGCGGCTAGATTGCCATTGGGTCCATACCGCACACAGGACAGCAGACCCGGCTAGCCCTGTGACCGGGTCTATAGTCGCTAAGTGCCGCATCAATATTTATTTCGACATCTATTTGGATGTTGCTGAATTGGAGGAGAAGCATAAATCTGGCGCTTAACACTAATAACTACATTGTTATCACCCTTCTGCTGACGGGAAATGACCAGGGGGCGGTTAATTATTAACTGCATGTTGATCTCGTTCTTAATCATTACTAGTTCTTGGGCCCAGAGCCGTCTTTTCCGATCAGGTCCACGACAAAATAGAGTGATGTGACGCACTGGTTAGTGGCTGTGACCCAACGTCTGACATATTTAGCTTAAACAGGGCCGGTTTATTGTCGATCCCAGGAGCACGGAACTCCAAATAAGGCTTGCTAGGAATCGCACCCCTGCCTGCCAATTCGATATTTGTTACGAAGATCCTTTTCATGGCTGATCATGCTGCTGGTTTCACACTATTTTAGTTGGGCAGGTGCCCATAAATCATGACCAGGTACCTAGATGAAGCCGCAAAAGAAGATTTCCAAGAAGGGCTATGCTCGCAGTTATATTTACTCCATTACTCACGTCCCTACCACCACTAACTTCAACCCAAAAGAGTTCTACATGCAATGAAGAGCTTACTTGATGTTACAATACTTAACTGTCTTTCCTTTCAACTTTAGTCTTGGAGCCGGTACGCGGAAGCCGTAACTTGACCTTGACTTCTCCAAGAACTTAACTTATAGAGATTGCGTTTTATATCTATTGGGAGAAGACACTTCTATGAAATGACGTAGTTGTCCAGGGTCGCGTAAAACCGCTGCCTGACTGCCTGTGTAAAAACAGCACCTAAGGTGCGTACCGGCGTGTCTCCGTCTTATTCAAATGCCTGAGAGTCATTAGAGGGAATAATCTGACTGGTAATTGTTACACAGCCTACCATCAACTCTGTTGACGCTCTGAGAGGAGACACCAGGCTTGGTTCCAAAACATGCTGCAGTATGTGCCAAGTCTACTAGTCTACTTTTACCTTAAATCTTGTCTCTAAGGTTGTGGCGGAGTTAAGAAAGAGACCCGCAACTCATACATCTTTGGCTTATTTGCGCAGGATCGCGAACCCTCCCCTTGGGTACGCGCGCTGCATGCATATTGGTTGCTGTACGACTTATCACAGAGGAGCTGAATCGGCCATCCAGAACATCAGAAGCTCAAGCTTCTACTGTAACATTTCCATATGGGGCGTTTGGATGCTTTTGCTTGATTGAATAATGGAACATCGGGTGTATATTTCCCGAAGTAGTTTTGTGTCAGGCCCGTATTCTATATGAGTTTCAAAGCGGAATGATTGAACCAGGCTCAATGATAATAAAACATATAATTAGGTCAGTATACATGTATATTTCGACCTTGTAATGGTATACCTAACTTGGTTACAACCTTATTCACGTACATCATGCAGAATACACAGGGGATATTGGGAGCTTTGAGCACTCAAATCTCATTAAAGCGACGAATATTATTACCCATAAGCTGTTTGCCATTGAACCAAATACAGACTGGAAAGTGAAAGACCCAGGCGATATACTACGTGCGGTGTGTGGCGGAGGGTGGCTGATCGCTGTGGCTGATGATGGAGGGGTCATCACGTGCTCCGGGACCTAACTCCAATTGATGGCGGCACTTTTCAGTGTTTCGCGGCACAAAGGTGGGGTGGAGGGGTAGTGCTGAGGCAAGCCAATCAGAGGCTCGAATCAGAGATATGTGGGACCTCAGGATGAGGGCAAACGTGACTCAACTCGACATTTCCCGCGATGCTTCTCTGCAAAACATCTGATTGCCTGTTGACAGTCTTAGCGGCTTTGCATCACCAGCACTCATCACTTGCGGCATGGGGGACACCGTCAATTCAGCTATGGCCGACCTTTCGGTCAGCAACGCAACGACTGCCCAGGATGTGAATCCGTGGAGCGTCAGCGGCGAGGTCGTCGACGGCAAGGTCAAGGCCATCGACTACAATCGCCTGGTCGACACCTTTGGCACGAAGCCCATTGACAAGGCGCTGCTAGAGCGCTTTGAGCGAGTCACAGGCCACAAGTTGCATCCCTTCCTCCGCCGCCAGCTGGTTTTCTCACATCGCGACCTCGATTGGATTCTGACACGCCATGAGAAGCGTGAGCCGTTCTTTTTATACACGGGTCGCGGCCCCAGTAGCGACAGTATGCATCTGGGCCACATGGTGCCCTTTACCTTCACAAAGTTGGTTCTTGATCCGTCTTTTGGATGGCTGGAATCGCTGCTAACATGGTGTCCGTAGATGGCTTCAGGACGTGTTTGATGTCCCCTTGGTCATCATGATGACGGATGACGAGAAGATGATCTTCGGAAAGAAGGTGTTCAGTTTGGAGGAAATGAGAGGCTTTGTCCGCGGCAATGCCACCGACATCTTGGCCGTTGGTTTCGACGTCAAAAAGACTTTCCTCTTCAGCGACTTTGACTTCATGGGCGGCGCCTTTTATCAAAATGTAGTCAGGATTTCCCGTCAAATCACACAGAACACCAGCAAGGCGGTGTTTGGATTTACTGACAGGTCGGATATGATGAACCCCTCAAAGGCCGTCCCTTTTTACTGACACCCCCCCAGTGACAGCGTTGGCAAATACCACTATGTCTCTGTCCAGTCGGCCACGGCTTTCGCTACCACTTTCCCGCACATATTTGGCACCGACGCGAAGAAGGTAGCCAAGATCCCATCGCTGATTCCATGCGCCATCGACCAAGACCCCTACTTCCGCGTCTGCCGCGACATCGCTCCCAAGCTCGGCTACCCGAAGCCCTGCCTGATCCACTCAAAGTTCTTCCCTGCGCTACAGGGTCCTGGTTCTAAGATGAGCGCCTCGATTGACTCGAGTGCCATCTTTATGAATGACACAATGAAGCAAATGTAAGCATCAAATGATCGCCATATACCGCTCCCCTGTTGTGGTTCTTTATGAGTAATTGCTGACTGGTCGATGCTGGATCAGTGAGAAGAAGATCAACAAGTACGCCTTCTCAGGCGGTCAAGAGACAATGGAAGAACAGCGCAGATTGGGTGGAAACCCCGACGTTGATGTTGCGTTCCAGTACCTAAGCTTCTTTTCGGAGGACGACGATGAGCTTGAGGAGATTCGCCAAGACTACATCGCAGGTCGATTGCTCACTGGCCAGCTGAAAAAGAAGTGTATCGTCAAGCTTCAGGAGTTTATCAAGGCATACCAGGAGCGTCGCGCCACCATCACAGATGCTGTGTTGGATGAGTTCATGCGCGTTCGGCCACTAGAGTGGAACCAAGGCGGACAGCCTTCGGAAGGAGAGAAAAAACCAACCCCTGAAGCGTCATGAATAGAACGTGTTGATATTACTAAAAATATGGCTTATGATCCTTCTACGTCGCTTCTCTTGAACCTGGATACCCATTGACCTTGACCTTTATGATACCTCGAATAACCACGTCGAGCATAACCGTGCTAAGAAGCCTCTATAAGGATCTAGACTTTTCGGATCACTAATCCTAGTTGATATCTTGCTCGCCTGATCACAACGATTTAACAACTGACTAATACTTTGCTGTTAAAGTTGGTGCTCCTCCGCCTCCGGGACTAGACCGAGATAGAGAGATCATGGCGACGTATACAGTTGCGAAACCGTGTCTATCAGGACTAGTCTTGGTTCCAATGATTGTAGTCCAATAGCTCGGATCTTCCCTCTTAGTTCTTGTTGTGCCCAAGATCTCGAAGGTAAGCAAAAGAAGCCCATGAGCCAACACCAAGGAAAAGCCCCGTGCCGATAAAGATGAGTGAAAAGTTGACGACACCCAACGCAACGTCCATCTTTGGCCCCCATACGCGAGGCACCCTCTTCTGAATATCAGCTTGCCGCATACGGAACCAGGCGACGCCCCAATAAATCCACCCGAAGAAGCCGTCAAAGATGGCACCGACAATGGCGAGCACTATATAATAGGATGGTTAGCGGAGCAAAAAAATGGCATATGGACAACGGAAGGAACTCACAAGCATCGAAATGAGGAATGGTTTGGCTGATGGTGAAGGCGAGTGTCCAGAGAAGAGCTGAAGCGGAATCGGTTAGACTTGAATCTGCTGAGATAGGCTCAGAGTGGAAGGAACGTACTGATAATAACAACCCATATAATATTCTTAGTACGCTTCTTTGAGATTTGTGATTCAACCGAATTTAGGATGAATAAACCAGTAACTGTGGCGTAGAGGGATCCAAGTATTACCAAAGAAGGCAAAAGGAAACAGAAACAGATAATGAGCTGAGTCCTTTCAAGGCTTCCGATCGTGATGGTTGTCATATCACGAAGCCCGATGTGCTTATACATGAAGATGGCAAATGTGATGAAAAGGGAGTACTGGACGAATGAGGAGAGGTATAATGCCTTGGGGAAATCTCTGCGCAAAACATGTTAGTTGTGAAAGATATTTATAAGGATAGAAGAATCAACAAACCTGGGATCCTTCATTTCAGCGATGAAGCTGGGGAGCGTGATCTGGCCGATGAATGCAAATGCAATGCCCAAGAAAGCCACCATGATATCTTTGAAAGTTGCGTCAGGTGAAGGCCAGGCAGAGAACAAGATCATACTATGCTTTGTGATCGCGGCATCCGCACCGCCTCGGGGCTGCAATGAGGAGTCAACAGGGCCACCCTGATTTACAATGAAAATCATGGCAAGGACGACACAAGTGACCGTGGAAGCGACAGCAGCCATGGCGAAACGGGACAATACTTTGAGGGTCCGTGGTAATGAGCAAAGGAGGCAGAGAAAGGTTGCAACGAGACCGCCGAGGATCCGAGGAGAGATGGCCACGGACTTTCCGTACAATACCACGTTTTGAAAGAAGTTCCCACCGAGATTAACATGAATGCCCTGAAAGAGAAGGTTAATTGACTTATACAGAGTGGGATATCAAGGGAGAGAGACACGAACCTGAACCCACTGTTAAGTCGAAATGTTAGCGATCAGCAATTCCAAAAGGTATATGAGCATGGACTTACAATATTGTTGCAAACAAACATACATGCGGTGAACCAAAATCCGATGGTACCGTATTTGCCGCATAATATCTTGCCGATATCGCAGATGCTCTTGCTCTCGGGGTGTCGGAGGCAAAGGTCCCAGAGAACGAGCGAGGTGTACAAGTAACCAAGGCCGATGAAGAACGTGGCGGCAATTCCAAGAACCCAGCCCATAGTCGCGTAAGCATGAGGGAAACTGAGAATGGCAAAACCAACGAACTCAGCCATAATCAGGAACGCCGTCTCAGCCCAGTGGCATGTCCGGTGTTTGTCACTGGGGATGGAAAACATGGCTGCTACTAGAGGCAACTCGGAAGCATCCTCGAGACTTGATGCGCTATTGGAACGAGGCGATCGGTCTGTGAGAGGAGATCCCACCTGCCCATGGCAATCTCCCTTGCCGTCAAGTCTGGCTCCAACAACCGTGTTGGAACCACCGAGAATGGTAGCCCGCCGGACGGCCACGGGGGAAACAGCCGAAGACATGGCAAGTTCCGGGAAGTGGTCGAGAGAACCCAGGAGATAGTGGAATATAGATCGCTTTTCGTTTTGGGAAGAGTAGTTGGCTATACTTTCCAAGAAAATTCTTTCCCGAAAGGGATCCAAAAGAATGTGAATAGTTATTGAGAAATGATATGGTAGAGATAACCGACGAGATTGTGTGTAAGGAAGAAAAGGGACAGAGGAGAAAATCTTCGCGTAATCTTCAAGCCAGACGGGAGAGGAGATGTCAAGAGGGAGTTTACTTGCCGTTGATTTAGAGGTTGCGCCGCAAACCTTCTTCATGTCATGTTATACTGTACGTTCATAGTAGCCGGGCAAAACCTAACTATCTTACTTTTCTCAGACACTGCCTAGGATAGAATTCAAACTTTCTCCAAGGTTAGGGAACAAGCCTTGCTTAATCTAATGAAGAATTCAATGCTAAAGCTCGCGCGTGGGCTTCTGTTTTTGTAGGATGACCATGTGATAACTTGATGAATAGGAAGACATAAGCAATTCATATTGCTACTACCATCGTACTGAATCTTTACAGTCCCGCTGCAGTATAGGAAACAAGCCACGCCAAAGGCTACCATTATTTAGTTCCAACATAATGTAATAGTTAACATGATCATCAACGAAACATCAAGGTAATTAATGATGAGATGTGGAGTATTGATGATTTTGTGACGGTTCTAGCACCAAGTGAATAGCAATGTTCAAACTATGAAAAGCTCCAGTAGGAATTGGCTGCTTGATGCATATATCTCACTACTCGTGATGTTCCAAAATGTTTCCTTTAAACTCCCAGAAGCTCGAGCGTCTGATGATCAACTAGCGCCGCGGAGTACCGCTCGCTCATGGCAAAAACAACATCGTCGGACTGCATTGTTTGAGGCGTCATGGCCCAGAGGAAACCCTGCATGGCATACCGACGATACTCATCCCATATATCCTCTCGCGTCATTTTAGGCCCTCCCTCTGCATGTAATGCCTCTAGGTAGCTATCAATGAGATGACCCTCATGCGCACGGCGGTCTTCGACAGACATTGCCCCGACAAGGAAGTAGACAAGGTCTAGGATAGCAGGACCATACTGCAGACCTTGCCAATCAATGAATCCAGGCGTCCCATCGTTTGTGATAAAGGTGTTCCCGATGTGGTCATCGCCATGGATGAGGGAAAAGAACTTGAGATCGGCATCAGCGTGCTTCCACAAGGCCTCGAAGCCACGCTGGATGCGCTCTCGATCAAGCAGTGACTCGGCCACGGGAGGACGACACTTCTCATCGAACCGGGCGCCCCATGGTGCAGGATTCAGAAGGGCGAGCACAATTTTACGAACTGGGTTCTCTAATTTGACTCCGTCTTTGCCAAACAGCCAAGGGTATTCCTCCTCGCTCCTATTCCAAGTCTTTCCATGAAGACTCGCCAGCTGCTTCAGAGCCCCCTCAACAAGCTCCGCAGTCCAGGGTTCCAAAGGCATGCCGAACTTGCATTCCTCTGCCGTGTTCGACATGATGACGATGCCCTGGCCGTTGACTTTGTCCGTGCCTGTGAACCAAGTCTTGGGGAGTAACATGTTGGTCTGTGGTGCAATGTAGTGGTAGAACTCCGCCTCGCGACGATAAGTAGCCCACATCTCAGGGACAGTTTGGAGAATGACAGGGTTGAATCCGCCCTTGACGCAGACCTTGCTGGGAATTTCCCGGGTTGAGTCCTCATCCTGGAACTCTAGATCGAGAAAGATCTTGGAAGCCGTGCCATGGATGGCATTCGTGATCTTGAAGCTCTTGACAGGCACGCCCAATGCTTCAGAAAGCCATTCTGAGGTGATCTCTTCCGGCGTCATAGGGAACGCCTTCTCAGAGTTGAAAATGCTCCGAGGAGCCTTCGTGGTTTTGGCCAGTGTGTTGAGCATCGTGGTGACTTTTGGGGTTGATAGAGGTGCCAGAGTTGCCGACGGCCTGCAACACAAGGGGAAATGATGATTTATTACTCCTTTTGAATCGACGAAATTTGTAGCCTGGGGTACAGCTTGACTGCTAGGGTACCGGACGAACCCCGATAGATAACATACGACTTTGTGACCCGCACGAAGGTCACCAATAGCCCGGATATCGACCAACAGGACCGACCAAAATACGGCCAGGGTACGTTTGCCTAGTACAAAGTTGGGCTGGACACCAAGTAGCGGTGATGTTATAGTTATACGCGATGGGCTCCATGATGTGGAGAGAGTTTCGTTGCCAACATCCACCATGGTGGAGTAACCTCACTTTCTCCTTCTGAGGGCGTACATACGCGACCCAAGACGAAACAGACCCGTTGAACCACAACTGCCGACGCAGGAGCCGAATCCAGGCTAGAAGAAGGGAGAGCTACACTTAAACGGCGAAGCTTAACGTTCAACCTTCCGTATGTGGCAAGATTGCCCGCCGTTTCGGCAACACAACAGGGGAAGGGTGGTGATAAGCAGACCGGGCTAGGTTGCCAGGGCCTGTTTGAGAACGAACTGTTGGTAATAATGAATACCATGAGATAAATATCTGCCCCTGGGTTGCCAATAATCAAACTGCTCCACGTAATATGTGTAAGGCGTGCGAACCCTGCTTGGAATGTTGGAATGTGATTGGTTGATGGGACGGACTTCATACAACCAACAGAGAGTAGATTGGTGATGGTGGATGCTTGGACGCCGTACTCTGTACGTAGGCTTTAATTCAGTTGGATCATGGAAAAGTGACCAAATGGAGGGTCCAGTTTGGTTTCGTGCAATCTAACTGATGCCGCAATGGCGTGGAGTTGTCGTACTCGGTATGTAGGGGTTAAGAGCGAGCTTCGGGTTCCGCGGCTTACACCCAAGTCAGGAGGACGAACATCCACATCCAGGGGAGAACTTTTCAGTCTCCAGTCAAGGGCCGGCTTTGATCCGCCACTTTCACACAGTAGATACCATGGGATCCCTGTGGCTAAGGTGACATGTTGACGAGGAGGAACCTTGTCAACTTTGTTCAACATGTAGGAATATATATGTATGCTGCCACACATGCGGAATCTAAATTGTGGAATCAATGTCCATTTTCAAGTCTGTCTCTGAGATGTTTGGCGCCAAAGAGGGAGACCTACCGATACAATGCAAGCCCTGAGCCCCGAAGTCGATATATACACCACGCCAGTGTTACAACCGCCGGACGGAGTGACCTCGGATTTTAGTCGACCTCTCTCATCGGTCCAACTAGCAACTATCATCGTGTTCAGCGTCACTTACTTCTTTGCGACTGTGTCTTTGGCCATTCGATATGTCACGAGCGTTGCAGTGGTCCGGGCTCTGGAGCCCGATGTTGGTACGTGGAAGGCGAAATGCTACTCTGAGCTCCAAGTGACATGCCGTGCTGACAGCAATGGAAATCTAGTTCTCATTACATTAGCATGGGGTTGTTCTATGGGATATTTCATCTCAGTCTGTTTCGCAATGAAATATGGTTGGGGATCGGACGCGTGGGATATCAGCATTAACGACCTCACTGGGTACTACAACGTAAGTAAACCGTGAAATAACCGAGGGATCTTTCTTCATTTCTGACTCTAGAGATACAGTACTTGCTGCCGACAACGTTAACCTACATGTGGAGTCCGACTCTTAGCAAACTCTCGATTCTAAGCGTACTTTGGCGAATAAGCTCGGTACAACAGTTCCGCATCGGCGTGTATATCGTGTCTGGGATGCTTCTCATTTATACCATTACATTCACTGGTCTTCTGTCCGGCCCTTGCAATCCCAAGAATGTCGGTGGTGGCACGTGCCTCAACAATCTGGCAATTTCTCAGGTCGTGCTCAACATCGCGACGGATCTGTCCATCATCATACTGCCCCTTCCAACTCTCTACAAGCTTCAGATGCCTTTCCGGAAGAAGGTTGTTGCCGGAGCTATCTTGAGCCTCGGTTCCGCGTATGCATTTCTAACAAAACCCTCTCTCGCGTATCTTCAACATGCTGATTCTCATCTCTGTATAGGGTCCTCCTCGCCTCCGTCGCTCGAGCCCCATACGTCAAAATCATGGCCACCGACCCAAACTTTTCTCGAAGACAAGCCGAGGCTGGCGTCTGGTCACTGGTCGAGCTCAACCTCGGTATCCTGTGCAGCAACTTGATGCGCATGAAGCCCTTCCTCCGGGCCTACTTACCCAAGCTCCTCACCATACTGGGGCTCTCGTCGGGCAGCGCATCCAACACCCCTGGCCACGACATCTCGACGGGACACTGGTCGCGAAAGAGCCATAGCCGCGGTTACAAGCTCCACAGCGTAGGAAACGAGAACTCCCAGAGCAAAAGCCTGGACGCCGACGGAATGGCTGTGAATATTAGCATGCAAAAGCCGGACAAGACTCGACCGCACAGGGATAATGAAAGCACAGATAGCATCCTAGGGTGATGAAGCTAATGACGAGGCTCTGTTGGCCTTTTCTCACCATTAGCTTTTGGATCTAGGATAAGAGCTTTCGAGTTGAAGCACCGCTAGCACGTCAGACATGTATACTTTATCATTAATAATTGAAACACCATTGGCACATGCCATTGTGTTGGGTTTTCAAGCCCTGGAAGCTTCCATTGCTGTTAAACTTTCTACTCAAAAACTCCTGCGTATGGACACATGTAATGGAAAGCGGTACATAAACCCGTCTATGTAACACCATCCCCTTGATGGAAGCATGGTGTTCATAATTTGGACTGTCTGGAATTGTTGGGTGTTCGGAATTTTACTTCATTTACTAAATACAACTTACGGATACCTGATTTAATTAAAAATAATATTCTGAATAATCTAAGCCTCTGTGAAATTGATAAATATCAAGGGCTCCAAGTAGCGACCAAACCCTCACCAAGATGGCTGGTTTGAGACCTGTATTCAGCAGACAGCCAGGAAATCCTCTTCTTCCCCTTCATAGACCCACGAGGTATCAGGTCTAAGCGTATAACCAGAACATACGCCAGGGGTTCGAAATTGACTGTGCTGGTAGCATACAGCCTTCCAGGTTAAGAATACCCTGCACTCCACATAAGTGGCATGTAGATTTATGCAGCCGAAGATCATTCATGTTTTCATGTGGGTATACACCAAAGGTTAATCATGGTTGGATGTGGAGGAACGCTTAACATGACAAGTTCACAACCCCGTGACTGACTTGCCCGTAGTAGCACAACGTTGGCGGCATCTCCATAAAAAGTCTCAGGTTAATGCACTTTTGATATGCATTCATAAACATTGGGTCGAATTTGAGATCTAGATACAGCTTCGTCTCTTGCAGAGTGGAATTATCATGCTCAAGCCTCCCCCCAATTGTACTGCATGCTTTGGTACATGGACCAACAGGTCCCTCTTATTTTTGGCAATTAGATGTTCAAACTCCAACCTAGACTTAGCACGACTGGTTTGATTAAAGCGTGAGTTATCGTGCGCGTTGTGACTGCTATTTCCTCTGCCCGACAGCATCTTCTAGTTCCGCCACCGCATCAACAGACTATCAAGTTTCGTCTTGCTTGAGTGCGACCATCTCCATAGACTCTCTGTCTCATTCGTCGTGTCCAGTCACAAGAACAACGAGTCTTCTCGAGTTCGTAGTTAGCCTCGGCATGGAGCCTGTGATGGCATTGACATGGAGGGAAGGCCCGAAAGCTAGGTTGGGGAAGTCAAGTGTACTTTGTTGTTGTGCTCCAAGGTAGGTATTGACGGCGAGGTATCTGTTTACCACTGACGGAATGAAGTAGGAACTTGCCCGATATCAAGTGGCCCTCTAAGTGAGCAGCGCATGAGTCACTAGATGCTTGCGAGTTGCCATCAAGCTGTCGTCCGTTGGTTTGTTCGTAGCTATAAGTGGAATGATGACGAAAAGTGCCGTAGAAGACGGCGAGTTCCGTGATGCAAGTTCCTTGATCATCCTTGATCATCTTGGAAAGTACCCGTTGGGCGAAGGTATCAGCAGCGGTCCGGGAAGAACTTTGACTTTTAGAGCTCAAGAAGTGAGTCGTGATGCAATGCAAAACTATATAATCTTGCCATCGTATAGAGGTCGGAAATATGTTGTAGTACCTTGCTCACTGGCCATTCACCGCGAGAAGATTGTTCTTTGAACGTATTGGAGGAAGGTGAGGCTCTCCTCGTCGTTTTAGCACTGAGTGACCGTCCAACAGTAGAGGTCTCAAAGAGAGATGCCTCAGAGCGGAAATGTAGAATTTGCCGTTGGTCTCGATGATGCTATTCGTGTCGAAGTTGGCGCAGGAGTAGAAGTTGGCGCAGGAGTAGAAGTTGGCGCAGGAGTAGAAGTTGGCGCAGGAGTAGAAGTTGGTGTGGGAGTAGATGTTGTAGAAATAATGGAAGAAGTAGAAGTAGAAGTAGACGAAGAAGAAGTATAAGTATGAGTAAAAGTAAAAGTAGATATAGACGTAGACATAGACGCAGACGTAGATATAGATGTAGATGTAGAAGTAGACGTAGAAGTAGAAGAAGAAGTATAAGAGCCCCGCAAACGAAAGGACAGCATGGTCGAAGCACGCACACTTACCACACACACTTGACACAGCACACACACTGACAAAGAGTTTACTTAGCTGCAGAAGAAGAAGTTTGAGGCGAGAAACGAGCAACCGACGACGGGCAATGAGCGATAAGCAACAGAGCAGAGGCGTGGTCGAACAACAAGCAGCCGAATAGAACGATCAGCGACAAGCGACTCAGCAGAGATGTGGGCGAGCAACAAGCAACCGACGATGAGCGAAGAGCGATAGAGGGCTGGACAGAGGCGTGGACGAGGGCGGACGAGAGCTGAGAGATGGAGACGCAAGACGAAAGACGAGGGATGCGTATGACAAAGGCGAAGTCTACTGGATGACTCGCGGAACTTGAATGAGAGGAGACTGATGCAAGACAGCTGGGTGGAGGGGCAAATGGGGGGGGGC